AATGTGAGCAATAAGATCTATAATTACTTAACTCTTAAAAAGAGATTGATAGAAAAGAGATTCATAAAATGTATTTGATTTATATTATTATCTGGAAACTAGAAAAGTAAATAATTATGATCAAATCAAACCAAATTTGATCTTTCTTCGTATGTAAAGAAAAACACATTAAGTAGCTAGATCTTTTACCTGTTATAATAATATCGACCATAATCGAGAATGATGGTTTCCGATTAGGGTTTTATCGACGGAGAAATTGCTGAAATCGTATCCAAGATTAAAGCTTTACTTTCTCTTAATGTCTTTCTTTTTTTCGTCCAATCAACACAAATATTATTGGTCTTAAACAGTTAAAAGCATTTTCAGCAATTAACATTAATAATTTCTAACATGTTAGTCGAAACGCACAATTTGAGGCTCGGACAATTATGGGTCTCCAAAACAAATATAAGCTCCTAAATTTGGGCAAGTATTTGTCTAAGTACTATTCATATTGAGCCCAAACAATTAAAAACCTGAATCTTTTATTTTAAAATACTTTTCATGAAATAAAAACATTAAAAATATAATATAATTTTCAACCCACGATAATAATTTCCAGATAAAGATAGATATTTATGAATGGCTAATAATCATGATTATTCAATACATTATTCTTAAAACAAATGAAATATACCGTGATATAAAGAAAAAACTATTTAGTTTTTGTCTGTTCAAAAATCACACGGGTTAGAATCTAGTTAGTAATTAATGGTAAGGAATGTGAAATATCTGATTTATGCATGTGATAAAAAAAATGTTTAATCCATCTCCAACATTCACTAAATTTCTCAAAGGTCGCATAGATCGTCTGTAAAAACTGAAGTGAAAAAAACAACAAATGAAAGGAGAAGGTATTTTATTTTGTAGAAGAAAAAAAAGAGAGAATGAGAAGATAGCAAAAGTATTTTACGTTTTTCCGTAGAATTCTAGCCATCGTGTATATATATATATATATATATATATAAAATCTTAAAAGTTTTTAATTTTTTTGGTTTGTCAGAAGAAATTTCTTTGTAAATAATCAGGGAAGGTTCTTATGGAACCATATTACTTTTTAACAATCGAATGTCATATATAAAGTCTTATATGGATAGTGCTACATGTGTATTTACTGTGAGATAAATATGAGAAATAAAAAATGTTGCATATAAAACAACCTGTGAAGAGATATGTGAATGATGTGCTAAGAAGGAACCGCGTGGAATTTTAGTAACAAAAAATGTATTATCACACATCACTCTCTCTTTTTCTTTTTTTTTCTTGTGTTTTGCTTCCAAACGTACGCTTCTCTCTAGTTTCCGTACAACTACCCTTTCTACAATTTTTTTTTTATTCGTTCGATTCTTTCCACGCACCCTTCTTCTTGTCGCGTTGTAATTGACCATGGAGTCAATGACCAAGGCTCATGTACGTTACTCTAACAAAATCCTTCAAGGAGATTAATCTATTAGGAATATTATAAGGTGTGTGAGTAATGAGATTAAAAGTTTATCCCAAAAAATAAAACAATATGGAAAATAATCAGTATGTTGCGAGTGATATATACTGATCATTGCAAATAATAAATAAGTGGTTTTATTCTGAGCCGATATTACGATGATCTCATAAATTTTCATACCAAACAGGTCTAGAGTTCTACTGATCATTGCAAATAACAAACGAGTGGTCCTGTAGGCTTAGGCTATAGGTATGAAGATTTCTAATAATGATGACGAGTAATTAAAATATGAGTACAACGAATAAAAAGAACAAAAATTATTGACTATCCATTTTTTTTAAAGTCTAGATGTGTTTAAACTGGATATGGATAACGTAACTGAAGTTACCAAGCAGATTTGCACGACAATATTTTGTTAAAGAAAAGGTTTTCAAAGGAAATTCTATAAGGCATCGTAATGGAGGAACCAGAAGAGAGCGTGTGGAGAGATTAATATAAACTTATTTGATGTATTCATTATTCATATAATTAATAAATTATTCAAGACTTCAAAATTGAGGAGATAAAAAGAAATCGTCAAGAACATTCATTTTCTCAGAAGTTATAAAGAACGACTAATTTCCTTTTCTCCGAGTCTCCTAAGTGTAACGCGTGACGCAAACCGTGAAGGTGATTTCCATTTTTTCTTTCCGCCTCATATTCCTTATTAATTTACAAGAATACCACTTTCACTAGCTTACTCAGCAAGTAACGATGGGTATTTCCGTCTATTAACATGTCTTCACCAGCCCTATAAATACCAAGTACCAACCATCACAAGTAACACAACACACAAACAGACTAAAAATCTAAGCCGTAGACGAAAAACACACACAAAAACCCTAGAAGATAAGTCAGTCTAGTCATCAAGTAATCAGCCATGGTTGCAAGAAGTGAGAATCTTGATCGGACGGTGGAAGATACTACTACGACCGCGAATATTGAGTATCTTGATCGGACGGCGGCGAACTGTCTGATGCTGTTATCGAGAGTTGGAGAACGCGGCGGAGGAGAGAAGCGCGTTTTCCGATGCAAGACTTGTATGAAAGAGTTCTCATCGTTCCAAGCGTTGGGAGGCCATCGCGCGAGCCACAATAAGCCTCTTAACAGTAGCAGCGACGAACAGTCCACGTCGTCACTTTCTTCGGGACCCGTCACTAAGAAGATCAAAGTTATGGCTTCGCATCGTTGTCCGATTTGTGGCTTGGATTTCCCGATGGGACAGGCTCTTGGGGGTCACATGAGGAAGCACAAGAACGAGAAAGAAAGCAGCGCGTTAATTACACGCTCTTTCTTGCCGGAGGCGACGGCGGTTACGACTCTGAAGAAATCGAGTGGTGGGAAGAGAGTGGCCTACTTTGATTTGACATTGGATTCGATGGAGAGTGTGCTCAATTTGAAGTTGGAGATGTGAAGAAACGATTTATTGATTTTGCTCGTACTCTTTACTACATTTTGAATATACAACTGTAGCTCCTATATTTGGTTGTATTTTTAGTTTTATACATTATACCTTCTCGCATAAAATTTCATATGGCTTTATTGTGAACATTTTGATTTACTATATATCCGAGATTTCTTTTGATTCTTGTTCGCTCAACTTTTTATGCATGGTTAAAGCTTATAACTTTTTTTAAGCCATAAACGGTTGCTGTTGGTTTAAGTATATATTCAAACTACAATATAACAATTGTGGTCAATTTTGTTACTATGGTTACTGTAGTGCAACCAAAATATAAGAAGTTTTAAGATCACAGTAAACCCTTTATTAAAAAAAAAAGTTTCAAGATCACCGGATAAAAGAGGCTAACCGAAAAGATGTTTGTATTTGAGTAAATATTCAGCGGAAAGCTACTCATCAATCAAATAATTTAGAGTTTAAATTGTTTTGGTGGAATGAAAAGAATGAAAGCATAAAAAAAAAAAATAGAGTCTCTAAAAACAATATACATGTATGGTCAACAACACTAAGCTTAATTAGTTGTTGTTCCTGCGTTAAAGAAGCTAACACGAATTAGATGTTTATTTTCTAACCAAAATACAAATCATATAATATGATATATGTCGTTGAGGAAACCAATAGAAAGCTATCGCTCAATCAAAGAATCTACAATTTAAATTGTTTGGGTGCAATATAAATAGTCAAGTAAGATGTTTATGGAACTTCAACGATTAAATTGATTGTATGTGAATATTTTGCTACATGCTTTTATATTGGGAGATGAGTATGAGAGATAAAAATGTTGTGGATACAAAACCTGTTAAGAGATATATGCGTGTAAGTGTATAATCTAAAGAAGAAACCGCGTGGAATTGTATCAAAATCGAAAATATCGCATCACAAGTCACTCTCTTCCTTTGCTTGTTTTCTTCTGTTTTGCTTCCGAACGTTTCTCTCTAGTTTCCATACAACTACCCTTATTTACATTTTTTTTAAAAAAAATCCCTTATTCCCACACGCGCTTCTCGGTGGCGCGTGCGAGCTACACATCTCTTCTTGTCGTTGTCATTGAACATTGCTCATGTAACTGTGAGAAGATCTTAGATTGGATGAGATGACAACAACCTGGATAAGTTCACGTATATTACGAGAATATTATAAGGTGAGTGTAACTTGTAAGTCGAACACGTATATACAATTTTTTTACTATTTATGAGTTTTTCTTTTTTTATAATCGGTGAAACAAAGTACATTCACTTAATCATAGAAAGAAACATATGTTGCTAATTAGCATAATACAAACAGAAATAACGGATTTATTAGTAAAGCTATATGTTTTCTAAACTATGATATATGAATAATAAATTCATGAATATTTATGTTGTTGTCACTGTAATATCTCAATCTTTGGTTGTAATCTCGGTCAATTTTGGTTTGTAATCTCGATCTGCTTATTTGATCGATCTTCGAACAGAATCGGAACAAAGCATATACTAGTCTAAGTTGAACTCATCAACTATATACTACCAAGAATTAGTTATATGTTTATGTTTGATATATGATATCATTAACAATCATTTTTTTATAAAAAAAGTATCACAAGAATTAAGAGTTTAGGGTTCAAACTTGGAATCTTGAAAGTATTTAAAATAATTTTTTTTAGAAAAAACAAGAAGGCGGCTAGATTAGGAACCACGAACCAGAGAAGAGCGCGTGGCGTGTAGAATAATAATAATATCTTGCTCCTAGAAGGAAAAGGAAAATCACCAAGAAGTTTCCTTTTCTTAACGAACGACTCATTTCCTTTTCTCTATCCAAAGTGTTACGCGTGAGCCTGACGCACTTTCTTACGCAGCAAGTCACAATGGGGGGTACTTCCGTCAAATCACACGTCTTTCCTCTTTTACTCACACACCTCTTCTCCCCCTATAAATTACCCCTCAAAAGTCTCACACCACATCACACACACACACTCCAACGACCGTAGAAAAAACGCAACAAACCCTAGAAGTTGTTAAGTCAGTCGAATTACAATCAACCATGGTTGCAAGAATTGAGAATCTTGATCGGACGGTGGAGGATACTACGGCGGCGAATAGCGAGACTCTCGATGGGACGGTCGATGAGAAGGCGGCGATTTGTCTGATGCTGTTGTCGAGAGTCGGAGGATGCGACGGAGAGAAGCGCGTTTTCCGATGCAAGATTTGTATGAAAGAGTTCTCTTCGTTCCAGGCGTTAGGAGGCCATCGCGCGAGCCACAATAAACCCATTAAGAATAGCAGCGACGACCAGTCTCAATCGTCGTCGTCGTCTTCGCTTTCTTTGGGATCCGCCGTCTCTATGAAAACCAAAAGGAAGACGAAGTCGCATACTTGTCCGATTTGTGGCTTGAACTTTCCGTTGGGACAGGCTCTTGGCGGTCACATGAGGAAGCATAGGAACGAGAAAGACTCTGGCGGCGCGTTAATTACACACTCTTTTTTGCCGGAGGCGACGACGGTGAAGAAATCGAGTAGCGGCAAGAGAGTGGAGTGTTTTGATTTGGGATCGGACTCGATGGAGAGTATGATCAATTTGAAGTTGGAGTTGGGAAGAACGATTTATTGATTTTTGTTCGATTCTTTCGTATTTTGAACATGTAGTCGAGTTAGATCTTTAGTTTGATAGATTAGCATATTGCATAGACTTCTTTTAACCAGCTTTTGTCATCTTACCGATCGATTATGAATATATTCTGATTACTATCCAAGATTTATTTTCTTGTTCGCTCAATTTTTTGGTTGCCGCTGGTTTAAAAGTACTATTGAAGCTACAACGTAATTAGTGTGGCCAATTAAGTTGTTATGGTTACTGTATATGCAGAAAATGTTTAATTTAATGATCATCAGTGGATCGAAGAAGCTAACACAAAAGAAAACCATATAATATACATCAGATGTTTGTATTTGAGTAAATCAATGGAAAGCTATTGCTTAATTAAAGAATCTACAGTTCAAATTGTTTGGTAGCATAAATAATCTTTTAAACGACATAAAACATGAATCTGTCCCTTTAGTGATTTTGTTTTGCTTATTAGAGTGTGAAAGAGACAGGTAGAGGAATCTAATAAGTTAGAGTTAATTAAAGAAGAAGCAAAGAGAAACAGAGGATATATAAGAGAGGAACAATTCAGTCACCGTCAAAATAAAAATCAGCAACAGTAAGAAATAAAAGAAAATATTAAACCTTCGTACAAATAGGAAAGGCAATTTAAAAGAAGGAATCACAAAAGTTCGAATAAAACAAAAAAAACTACAGAAGAAGTACCTCACGATATATTTTTTTAAAGTTTTCTTCAAGTCACCCCCAAACTTTGAACTTGAGTTTTAAAACTTGTTTCTTAACTTCCACAGCATGCAGACTTCTGTGTGGCCTGCCCGGCTCCAGCTGCCTGGTCCGTTTGGCTTATCTTGATCGTCGCAGGCTGCAATTTCACGACAAAACATGAGACAGACCCGTGCATAAAGAAAAGTAAACAACAGAGGCAGAGATCTGAAAGAAGAAATAGAGAGAGATGTAATGAACGAACCTCTGCCCTGGAGTCAGTGTCTGAAAGCCTCTGCTTAATGTCCCTCCCTATCGAGAAGAAAACTTCTTCCACGTTTAGGTTTGTCTTAGCACTCTGCAACAAGATGCATATAGATATATGCTATGTCAGCAACAGTTTATAGCAGCTGTGTTCTCTCGAAATTGAAGACTGAGAAAGTTTTCAAGACTTACTGTTTCGAAGAACTTGATTCCGTATTCATCAGCAAGAGCCTGGCCCTTTGCTGTAGGTACAGCCTGAAAAATTGTGAAAGGAGAACAAGAAACTATTATTATTAGGACCCATCAGTCGTGAACCATGAAACTGGGATAAAGTCGGTGTGAGCGTTTACCCTCTTGCTCTCGTCCATGTCAGCCTTGTTCCCTACCAAGATCTTGTTAACATTATCTGAAGCATGCTGTTCGATATTACGAATCCAGTTCCTAATGTCTGCAACAAGATCAAGAATATTTGTGTGTAAAATAAACACAGAGTTCTATAGAAACCCATAAGTGAAAAAGGGTATTAAGGAAGGGGGCTTTTACTGTTGAAGGATGACTCGTCTGTGACATCATACACAAGCAAAATGCCCATTGCTCCACGGTAATAAGCTGTGAAATATATACAAAAGGATAAGTACAAGTGAGCAGAAACTCTTCAACCAAAAAGTGCAGAAATATCGCAACAACAATCAACTATACAAGACCTAGAGAAGTAATCAGCAAAACAAAGCAAAATCAGTCAAGTGGCATTGCAAAAATACATTGCCTTTACAAGATATCATAAGCACCAGTAAGTGGCACATGTTCTCAAGAATCTATCTAATTTTTGATGGTGAAAGCAGTCTCTAAGGCAAAATCCATATAAAAAAGATGAAATCTCACCAGTGGTGATTGTCCGGAACCGTTCTTGACCAGCAGTGTCCCAAATCTGGAGCTTGATACGTTTGCCATCAAGCTCGATCGTTCTTATCTTAAAGTCAATGCTACATAAAAGGCAAAAGAGAACAAGACTTGACGATACATACATTACTAGATGGATTTAGTGAATTTCTCCATGGCAGAGAGAAGACTAACCCAATGGTGGTAATGAAGCTAGTGGTGAAAGAGCCATCAGAGAAACGTAGAAGAAGGCAACTTTTACCGACACCTGCAAAAAAAAAAAAGGAATCGTAAATTTCAGAGATCTCTAATAAACACAAATCTAATCGGAACTTTGTAATCAAATTGAGCAAGTAGCGATCACGAATTAAAATCTAGGTCTACAGAACGATTTCTCATTTCATCACCCAAAAGAAGAAAAACAAAAGTTCAACATCGCAGTGAATAGATCGATTCGATTGAAAATGAATGGATTCAGGACTTTGTACTCGGATCCCTAGAAAACGACGAGAAACAGAAGATCGAAGAGATTCAGATCACATACCACTATCTCCAATCAGAAGAAGCTTTATGAGGTAATCGTAATCGGCTCTGGCCCTAGCAGGTGGAGCAGCCATCGAATCTAGAAGGATAAAAAAAAAAACTCACAGATCAAACCATATATCTTTGTTTCATCGAAACGAAATAGATCAGAAAACAGCAGAAAGCGAATGAATCGGCAGCAAAAGAAGAAGATCACGAGAGAAATGTACCGGATGAGAGGAAACAAAGAAGAAACCGATGTAATCGGAAGAACCAGAGAGAAGCGACAGCGAAGGATATGGCGGACGGCTAAAATGCGCCAGTCCCGATTTAGCTTCCTCTCCTTTGTGCCTTTTTCCCCGCTTCTTCTATTTACTTCGTCTTCTGCTTCGCGTGCACGATAGGATACTCCGCGCACGATAGCACTCGAACCCGAAGAAGGAATAAAGGAGTGCACAGAAAGAGAGAAGGACTCTTTCTTTTGGAAGGCCTTAAATGCACGAAGCCTTATGGGCCTTTTATATATTAGTACTATTACTTAAATCCAAATCAGCTAGCTGGACCAACTTGGCTTCATCTCATCTCAATGCATCCCCGAGTTACCACGTGTCACTGTGTCTATGGCTACCTGTTACGAGTGATGAACTGGCATCCCAAAATCATCTTGAATTACATTGCATAAATGTGGAATTTTAGTGGCTAGAACCATCATAATAGTAGGAAAAACAAAAATAATGGAGATAGAGAGAAGAAGAATTTGATTCGATTCTGAAACTGAATATGATTAAAATGAACGTCTACATGTAAGTGTAACAGATTGCAAACTTAGTAATATATATATATATATATATATATATATATATTTACTCTTGAAAAGTTGTACTTCGTTTCTCAAATCATATGCAAATAGGAGTATAACATAACGTAAATTAATGCTTTAGAGTTTCGAGGCTTGAAAGCTTTCGGAGAAATATTCATTTTTGTCGTTGGAATTATCAGTTTTTGTCAGCGACTTTGAAATTTTGTAACACATAATAAAGACATAATCTAGAAGTTTGATCGAAAAGAGGAACTTTTATATCATCGGGGTCTTTTTTCAAGGTTTCGAGAATTATTGAATGTTTCAAATGACCATAAAATAAATGTTCAATAGATAATGGTTACTTTGACATTCTCTTAACGCATAGAAGGCATAGAAAATAGAAACGTAGATATTTCTTAATTCTAGATCATAAAAATGATATTTCTACAACTTTTATATAGTTTCATTTCATTAGGCAAGAAAACAATTTTTATGAGCTTAAAAAAACCATTTTTTCTGATCGAGAAAACAGAACAGACAAACAAGAGGAGCGACCCCAAATGAGTAAATCTAAAAGAATACGGCAAAAAATTGCTTCATGACTCACAAAAGTCTTATAAAACTCGAAAAACTTAAATAAATTTGTCTATTTCAAGCATCCACAAAAAGAACAATCGACGAGTCAAAAAAGAAAAGGAAAAAAGCTACTACTTTAACAGTGAGGTCAATTGAATTTTCCCACTACCTCTCCACATAAGGAGTCTCAAGATTATAACCTGATAAAAACGGAGGATCCCGTAAAGCTGCTTCAGTAAAAGAAGCCAAGAACCTTGCCACCAACGTTCTTTCTCCTGGCTTCTTCATGATCCATAATTCCAGCTGAGGTCGTCAGAACAATGTAGCCAAACTGCATATAAAACACGTGTTCAATCAAAAGTTCCAACATTGCAATATGAAGGAACATTATGTTGATGTACAAGTGATGTGAGATTTTTGTCAAAGAAATAACAAAAATGGCTTTTTCTCAATGTGAGATCCTTTCTTCCAATTTGAAGTAAAACAAAGATTTACTTGCAAGAGATAATAGAGAAAAGATATGATTTTGATTTCTGCCCGCAACGGAACAAGAGCAAGCATTGATCTTGCTGCTCTGATCTCTCAAAGGCATGTTGATAATATTAGTACTATTAAGTCAAATCTTATGTTATAAGACAACAACGAAGAAAATAGTATCTGGACCAACCTGTCTAGAAGGAAGAAGACGAGCAGTCCAGCCTTCGATCTCCTTAACTCCAACATCAAAACGAGGACTGATAACTCCACACTTGTTTAGCCTTCCATTAAGCTCAACAACGATCTTACCAGACCTGTGGTCATCGACATACTCGAACTCGCCGATGTAACCTAAAAAAGCCATGACAAAAGCAGAGTCGGAACAAACATCGCTACACTTAAAAACTATACCGAACACAAAAAGGAAGTAAGGAAATGGAGTAAAGCATACACAGGAAAATAACCGTACCGTGCTTTTGCATGACCATAAGGAACTTGATGATGACTTTAGAAGAAGGCCTGATCATAACTTGCCTCTTTCCCCTCTTCTCTGCGTTGTACATGCTCTTAAGAGCGTCATTGAGGACACTGATTCTCACCATTCTTCAAAATCCAAAAACTGCAAATCATAAGCAACGAAAAGAATCTGAGATTAATGAATCCTAACCAATACTTTCAAAACATTGCCCAGCAAACATATCACTAACATTGTAAAAATGATGCAATGTACTTGTTCGTTCTAATATGATACATTTCAAGAACATCTACTCGGTCAAATTCACGGAAACGCAACGAATTTGTTTCCAAAATCATCAAAACACAGTATGGAAAACAACAGGAGTGACATAAATAACGAAGCTGATACAGAATCTACCAGCTCTAGTCGCATTTTGATCATACTATACGAAATCAAATACCAGAAACAAAACTTTCAAACTTGGGACCTAGATTCTCCGACGAAAATCAAATTTGGGCAAACTAACTACGCGCGTAGCCACAACAGATAATATAACTCGAGCAGAAATGGAGATTTTGAAATTCCGGAGATTTTCTGACCTGAAACTCAAGTAGCAGCCGCTCCGACCTTTCTCGTTTGCCTTGAAGCACGGATGAACAACACAAGAGCTAGAAGGCGGAACTCAATTAGGGTTTTAGCTTTTATCGGTTCACTTGGAAAACTTTATTGTATGGGTTGGATTTAAGTTCCATTAAGCCCATATTACATCATTCGGCCCATTTTATCCCGTTATTGATCGCTTTGTTTATCGTCACCGTTAGCTCAATCTAACGGTAAAAGAAGGAGAATAGTAATTTTCTACGTTTTTTTCTGGTCCCAATTAAAAACTGAGACTCTTAAAACAAATCTTTGCCGTTCGCTGTATCAACGAATTTGGTCAATCTAACGGTGACTATATATTCCACGTCATCGATCCGTGTGGAATCGGAATTGGCCAATAGGTATCTACTTCGTTGTCATATATATATATCAGCTGCTGAATTTGTAGAATAACGCACATCTTAAGTTTTTCCGAATTCAATTGCTCTCACGATTTCATCCTTTGAAAATTTCCCTGAAACCTCTTTTTGCTAGTGAGAATGGCACCAAAGGGAGAGAAAAAGCCGGCTGAGAAGAAACCAGTGGAGGAGAAGAAGGCCGAGAAATCCCCGGCGGAGAAGAAACCTAAGGCCGGAAAGAAGCTGCCGAAGGAGGCCGGAGCAGGCGGCGACAAGAAAAAGAAGATGAAGAAGAAGAGCACCGAGACGTACAAGATCTATATCTTCAAGGTGCTCAAGCAGGTCCACCCAGATATCGGAATCTCCAGCAAAGCCATGGGAATCATGAACAGCTTCATCAATGATATCTTCGAGAAACTCGCTCAGGAATCGTCTAAACTCGCTAGGTACAACAAGAAGCCTACAATCACTTCCCGGGAGATTCAGACTGCCGTCAGACTCGTTCTTCCAGGAGAGCTCGCGAAACACGCCGTCTCCGAGGGAACCAAAGCCGTCACGAAATTCACCAGTTCGTAAAATTGCATCGAGAATTAAAGAAGTTGGGTTTGTAATTAGGGTTTTTAGATTTGATGCGCGTTGGCTATTAGAGTTTCTGGAATTCGATTTCTGTTTTGCCTTCTTCTTGATTTTTGTTATTGCGATGTAATCAACCAAATCCAATCTCTCTACGAATTTTATTAAAGCAAAACTTTCAAATCAGTTTTCTTTTGCCCTAATTCCCCTCTACGAAATTAATTTTGCGCTGATTTGTTTCTTGGTTAATTGGAACTGTTCTTTTCTTGATCATTTTATCTATATATAATAATAATATAAATAAATGCCAATTGAACCTTCCAAAAGTTAAGTTAATTGAACCTTCCAAAAGTTAAGTTATTTTAAAATTGGTGGTTGCATCTTTTCATTATTAATGGTTGCATCTTTTCATTATAAATGGTTGCGTCTTTTCATTTATAATAGTTACAACTTTTCATTGTATTTTTTCAAAATTATTTATATTGCACAGAACTAAAAACTAAAATCATTTAGATCTGATATTTACTTTTTTACTGTAATGGTTCATGTTTTTTTTTGCAAAAAAATATAAAATTCAGAATAGTTTTGAAGATGTATCTACATCAAAAAAATTAGTTAATAATTACAAAAAATGTTATATGGCAATAAAGAAGTAAAACAATTATACAGTTTGTTTATGATATTAGCTTTCACAAAACTGATACCATTAAATCTCTCAAAGATATATAGATTGATGATCTATAAACCAAAATCAGAACTATGATTGTTGTGTCGTTTCTTACTATAATGGGTTTATTATTACAATAAGCTGTGAAATAATGAAAGTTTTTTTATGTGAGCATTCTTCTATGATTGTTGTGTCATGAAATGAGTAAATATCATAGCGGACTATAACTTTCCCCATCGACTAAGATTGTGTTGTCTTTGAACATTATATTATACATATTACACAATCTAACGAAATCTCTCAAGTATCACCAGATCCATTTTAAAATCCCTGAGGATTTTTTTTCATTAGAAGGCAGCAATATGTATATTTCTTTGAATTTTCTATTTTTATTATTGAGGGTAATTCTAAAAGGATCCTTTTTTGCAAATTTCTATTTTTTTAGTGAGGACCTAGCTACAAATATAAAATATGAGTACTAGAGAAGAAAAGAAAAACAATACGGGACCAAAATTAGGGCTTGCTTAGAGACAAATAGGAACAAGAGAGGGAAGGGGTTTGAGCTTGGTTAGTCTTTGGATTAATCGTAAAGATCGGATACGTTGTTCAAAGATGATGAACACTTTCACAGCAACATCATTACCAAACACGTATATTCTCTCTTCCTTCTCTTTGTTTTGTTTTGATGATTTTTCAATTTTTTACTTTCCAAAAATCTTTTAACTAAAGGAATTTCTTCAAAATTAAAAGTATGTATATTTTCAAATAGTTTGGAAATAACAAAATTTCTTTCTGAATCTTCTTCGTTCTCTGAAACCATCTTGATTTTACTCTTAAAGTAGAAAATATGTTATACAAAACCAATAAATATAAATTAGAAATTTTAAACACCTTCAAAAGTTGCAACGTTCAATTACTCTCTTTTCACTAACAATCGTGTATTTTAAGTACGTGTGTCTTCTAAAATCTATTTATATTGCTTGATAACATTAAAAAAAACTATTCGTTATACATTTCTGTAAAATGGAATCATGTTCTCTCAATGGTTTGCCATAAATAAAGAAGATAAAGTAACGAAAAATCTATCATACAATCAATTAACCAAAAAATATGTATGGGACAAAGGTCTTAAAACTTGGACAGATGCATGTGTGACAAATAATCTAATTTGAAATGATGATGAATGATATGTGGCTATGAAAGAAGCATCATTTACTGCTACACCAAATAAATTGTGTAATTTGTTTGTCAAATTAGTATATCATAATGAAGTTACAGAACCATTAATACTATGGAATGCATTTTGGAATTATTACAATGATAAAATGGCTTCCCGAGAAAAAAAAAAAAAATTTGTCTGAATGATTATAAGACAGTCATGGCTCCTGTTGAAGCGAATGAAGAGAATTGGTGTCTTATAGGATTTAAGGGAAGACACAGAAACAAAAGATTTAAAAGATAGTATTTTTTAAAAATTTATGGTTGTATCTTTTTATTATAAATAGTTGCATTTTTTCATTATAAATAGTTGTGTTTTTTCAGCACTACTAAAATTTGTATCTTTTCAAATTTATTTATATTGCTTAAAATTATATAGAAATTCATTTTTGTCTGATTCTAATTTTTATTATTTAAATTTATAATACCAATAAAAAACACTAAACAGAAAAATTTGCATCCCTCACCGCCGAAGCTGCAATTCAACCGGAAGATCCTGTCTAAGAAAAAAATCAATACGGATCCACATCGAAGTAAATAGGAGACAAATCTAACATACATGAAAGCCTTTCAGGGCAAGCTGAAACCAAAAGGGAGTAGAGAAATAGCATAAACAATACATCTAAAAAAGCAAAGCTAGCTTTTTCTTTTACCGTATGGTGTCAGAATCATCTATTAAGCATACACATAACCATGAACAAGATTTTCGTTGAGCAATCTTGTGTCACACCCAATATGTATAACTTGGTTCATGGTTGGCTTTATTTGATTGATTTTTCTTCATTGGTGCAGCAGGTGACTCAAACTGGAATTATTGGTGAGGGAAGCCAAGAAGGATTTCAAGTGTGGTACGTTTAATTTCATATCTCCATCCCAAATGCAAATATCAATTCATTAGTAAATATCTTATATCTTAAGATATTATAGCTTTCATTTATCTTACGATATTATAAAAAATAATAAACTACCTTATAGTAATCATATCATTTTTATTTGTTTTAATGTATAATAGTTCAAATAAATGCCATTTACATTTTTACAAATTGCGTCGTTTCAAAATTTGTGGTTGCGTCTTTTCCTTATAAATAGTTGTGTTTTTTTCATCCGTTGTGAGTAGCGCCTTTTCATTATGAATAGTTGTGTTTTTTCATTATAAATTATTGTATTTTTTCATCACAACTGTAATTTGTATCATTTTAAAATTATTGATACTACTCAAAACCATATTAAAAATTCATTTAGATTTGATTTTTACTTTTTTACTATAATGATTTATCATAAATGTAGATTATCTAGATAGTTTTCTGAAAATAAAAATAATAACAGAAAATCTGAAATATAATCATTTTCCAAAAAAATATGTATGAAACAAAATTTTAAAAGCATAGAAAATATTTAATATTGTTATTCATCTTGAAAAAATATTTAATATTTATCTTTATTATGATGAAAAAATCTACTCACTACATGCAACTTTAGAAAAGGTTTGAGAAAGTTTTGTTGATGTTAATGGAAGAGAAGCAAAGAGACATGGGTCATTTTATTTAGGTTAGATATATAATTATAATTTTCTTTATTAATATACAAATTAACTCTTTTATCAATATATATGTATATATATATATATATACCAGTAACAAATCATCTCCAACTTTCTCAATGGATCATCTATTTAATTTGTCATTGTGCTTTGAAATCTTCAACTCTGTTGTTCTTGCATAAACTAATTGCCAAGACGGTAAGTATTCTTATTATATATTTTAAAATTTGTAAAACGTCTGAAATTATATTATTTTTATATATCGATTTCTATCCAAAAGTAATAAGTTGTAACATTTTAAAAGTTATAGTTACATTTTTTATTATAAATGATTATGTCTTTTCATTATAAATTATTATAGTTTATAAATAGTTATATTTTTATTATAACTGTAATTTTTATCTTTTCAAATTTATTTATATTGTCTAAAACTAAAGAAAAAAAATCAGTTAAATCTGATGTTGTGAACGTTAATAAAAAGACACATAGAATGAGGGTGAGTTTATATCTTCTTAGACCAGCTTTTAGTCATAGACAAATATATGTTGTATTATCTAAAGTCATTTATTTAAACAGTTTAAAAATTTATCAAGGCTAAAAAAATAATGTTTAGAAAAAGTTTTTAATAATATTCAGTATCTTAAGCATCCCAATTGGGAACCTGCTCAAAACAGGTCCACGTAAAATCATATAGCAATTATTTCTTTTTCAAACATTTTTTTTTAAATTTAGAGTTTTGGAACTACATCGTAGCAAATAACAGTACTTAAAAACAGTGAAAACTACAATAGAGAAAGTAGTATAAATATTCGACAACAAATCTTTATTTTTCATTTACAGAAACATTAAGATATATATTTAGCAGGATAAAAATAGGTAGATAATAATTATAAATTATTCCAATAATTATAGGGAAAAAATTAACCATTTTTAAATGAATAGACATAATTTAAAAGGACGTAAATTTTCTCTTTTAAAAATTATTTAAGTCAACAGTTGCTTTATTTACTTAAAGAGCACTTATACTTGTATACTTAATTAATTAGAAATAATATATTTTCACTCTTTGGTAACACTCATATTTACTGGTTTCATTTTTTTTTTAAAATATAACTTTTTCTTCCTATAGCGTTAGATTGAACGAACTGTTAAAAAGTGAGTGTGGTGAAACAATCATTATAATTGTCAAGTTATACAACAATTTAGTTTCAATTACCAATATTAAAGTTATTTACTTTTAGTGACGTTAATTTTATTTCTAAAGAGAGGTCTACATATAAAAAAAGATTTTAATAATTATTTGATAAGTGAAAGAATTGAATTTGAAGAGGTAAACATGATTCTAATGAATGTTATACTTAGGGCTTGTGAAGTGATTGAATCTAGTGATTATTCCCATTCAAAAATCATGACACTATTATCAACATTACATATTCACTAAGATATCACTTACGAGGATACTTGAAAGCAACAAACAATTAAAAAGCTTTTTGATTAATGAACTGTTGTACCAAAACCTTTTATTGAAAATGTAATTATCTAATCGGAAATAATAACATTTTTTATAGAAACAAAGAATGAAGGAAAACATACTAATAATATATGTGCGTGATTTGCGAAGAACATTTTGTTGATAAATAAATTCTTCTGAAACTACCTTGCAATCATATATTTGATATAGATTGTTTTCTAAATGTTTATGTTGTTATTAATTATCTTTTTAATTTATTAAATAAATATATTTAAATATAAATTTATTGATTTAACTATTTATGCATATTTTTAAAATATCAATTATATAAAATAATTATTAAAAAATGAGTTTCCGCGTGAAAGTGCGGATTATTTACCTAGTTACAATAAGGCAACTTTAGTTAATATCCACTAATCAAAAGAAAACCCCAATAGAACGAATTAAACAAAAGAAACTTAGACCAGCTCCATCGGTTACATACTCTGAAAGTCTCTTAAAAAAAAATATTAATATTTAAACTATCAAAAGATCTAAACCAATCATAAGAAGACATATGTTAAAAGAGTTTGTTAAAATACTTGAAACCGTGCCTTAGAAAGGAAATAAAGAAACGTTTTTTCTCCTTCTTTCTTAATTTTTATTATTTTATTAATATTTTTTTTGAAGAAATTGTGTTAAGAAACCACCGATGGAGGTGGTCTTAGTGGCGCTAGAGAAAAAGCCCATTTGTGATAGAAGCCCAATGCCAAGTAGAGCGTAGCACAACATTCAGAAATGAGTAACCCTAACAAAGGTTAGTAACGAGGAATAGATGTCCGCCGGGAGAAAAACCAGAAAATGCTACTCCAACAAGAACCATCCACGATCCTTTTTGGATTGAGTTTCCTAACCTAAATAAGTTTCGCAACTGTATTTAGCGTATTCTGAATCAGTTCGTCTTCTACTCTTCAAAGATGGCCAAGAGATTCCAAACTCAACTCTTCGTAAGCAGTACGTAAGATATTGGTTTCCGTTCATCTCTGATTAAAATTTAATCCTCCGTTTACATTCTCTGATTTCTCAGATTTTTCCTTGTACAGGGTTATCTGCTTACACCACAGATAGATCTCTGTGGCAGCTTTTCTCTCCTTTTGGTCAAATTAAAGAAGGTACAGAACAGTAAAATCGAATATGTTTTAGCTCGATTATGTCTCCTGAACTAATTTTGTGTTGTGGGTTGTATAGCTCGGCTTATTAGGGACCATGAAACGCAAAGACCCAAAGGGTTCGGCTTCGTCACTTTCGAGTGTGAGCATGATGCTCAAAAGGCAATAAAAAGCTTGGATGGGAGGGTGAGACAAATCCAATTTGAATTTCTCCATTTAACATTTGCCATTTCTTCGTAACCTATATAATAATTTGAACAAGTTTCCTGCTTTTTGTGATGACTTTGTTCTGTAATGAATCTACAACCGATCAAAAAGTTCATTTCTTTTGCACATTCAGTGTGATCATAACGTTAATGGAGCTTGTTGAGAAGTTCACTGAAGCTGGATTTGGTTCTTTTTGTTTGCTTTTCTTGGTTTCAGATTGTAGATGGTAGACTAATCTTTGTTGAAGTTGCCAAGAACTCAGAGGAAGTGAAAACGGATATGAACAGTAAGAAAGCCGATGAAAGCTGGTAATTTGGGCGGCAACACATACTATAGACTTGTTTACACAATGTATTGGAGACACTCAGTTCCATTGTTTACAGCTCTTTTGGATGCAAATTTGTGTTGTAGTTCTTGTTTGTAGAAAGAACATGCGTTTCCCTATAATGAATATTGGGCCTGATTGATTGGGCTTCAACTTTTAAAAAGTGGCGACAACTATAAGAAACCTGTGGCTCATCAAAGCAAAGTCAGCAAAGTCAGCGTCGAGGTTATAATAAACGCAGAATTTCCACGTGGCAATCTTTGATAGGAAGTAACCAGCTCCTCACCGCTATAATGAAAGTTGAGCTGAAAGGTGGAGCCAACAGAGGCCGAAAGAGCCATTTGAGTCATGGACAACCTTTTCATTCGAATTCGATTTTCTTTTTAAAAGTCGCATGAAAATATTCGATGCATGAAAATATTCGATACATGGAATATATCCGATATGTCTATTTTTAATGGCCTTAGTTTTTCTATGTAATTATGTAGTGCCATTACTCCCAAATATCTATACTATACATTTTGGTCAAAACATGTATGTATGAAAAGTCTTTAGCCTATATATAATAAAAGCTTATCAGCTTTCGTACATGGGATGGGACCAGTGTTTGAATTTTTGAATGTTAAAGCTAGCTTTGATATAAAGTAATAAAACATTTTTTTAATCAAACATTAATAATTTATATTGGAACTTTTGTAGGTCTATCAGCAAGACAGCAACCAACTAGAGTATTTTGAAACTGATTCATGATGTACCAAGTTAGTTTGTCATTCAGTGTATCTATTATAACTGTAAAAGATTTGTGTATTATATGATTCAAAATTGTAAATAAATGACCATGCATGTACTTCAAAATAATTAAAACAATCATAATTTCTTGTTAGTAAACGGTCAAACAATACAAAAACGAACCTCAAACCCGTGACAAAAAAATGAACATAAAAATAACATTTTCTATGCTTTCGAGTGATATTATGTAATATATCCGGAAAAGATTAGAACCAAATAATTGTTAAGATTAGAACCAAATAATTGTTATTTGTGAAAATGTGTACATCTTTATTTAATTAGTTACTATGAAAATAAGATTTATAGAAGTCATTGAAAACCTACAAAATGTTTGACCCCAAAAAAAACTTACAAAAAAAAAAATGACTGAATTATTAAAAATAAATCTCATATAATATGGTAAGCTATGTAATGGACTTCCGAATAAAGCTGAAGAAAGGAAGAGAAAAGAAATTGAGAGGAAAAAAAAGAAGTGACCGTATTCTTTGTGGATTGTAGCCGCCGGGAGAAAAATCTTTCTTCTTTCCTTCCCTTTAAGCACGAATTTGCTCCGATACTAGTGTGCTTTCAGAGATGGTGAGCTCCAAGTTTCCACTTATTTTTACCTTCAGTTCCTCGATCTTGAGTTGCAACGCGTTTTTGGTTTCGTCTCGGATATAAATCTCCCGATTACGGTTTTGGCTCATTTGTTGTTTCGATTTAGATCTGTAGATGGAGTTGTTATTTGGGGTTTAGATCTCTGAGATTTGGTGTTTCTGTGATCGTTATGTGACTGATCTATGATCAAAACAGCTGGAGAACTTCTCTGCTAAGTTTGTTTCGATTGCGATGGCTAAGATTTGAAATCAGAAGAAATCTAAGATTTCAATTGAATTTTAGAACTTGAACATTTTGCATGATATCTTTATCAATTTCGGTGATATGCGGTTGTTCTTATCCATCCACTGATCGTATGTTGAAATCGATCTCTCTCAGCTTTACTGATCATCCAAATTGACCTATAGATCGTATATGTCGTTTCACTGTTATTCATCAGCTTCATGTAATTGATAGTCACATGTTCTCTTAGGTTGATGTAGCTATGTACAATAAAGCTTATGACTTTTGAATGTCATTTCCAAGAAATGGGTGATTCATGGACTTTTTTGGATTGTGTTTTTGAGTAAGAAGCCTTAAGAGAATATGTTCTGTGAAAAAAAAAATGCTTATCTTTATGTTTCTTATGGTGTCAACAGGCTAACGCGGCATCAGGAATGGCTGTGCATGATGACTGCAAGCTAAGGTTTCTGGAACTGAAGGCAAAAAGGACTCACCGTTTCATAGTTTACAAGATCGAGGAGAAGCAAAAGCAAGTGGTTGTAGAGAAAGTCGGCGAGCCAGTGCAAACCTATGAGGAGTTTGCGGCGAGCCTTCCTGCTGATGAATGCCGTTACGCCATTTACGATTTCGACTTTGTCACAGCTGAGAACTGCCAGAAGAGCAAGATCTTCTTCATCGCGTGGTAACTAATTTACACAACCTGCTATATAAACTCTCATCATCTTCCAAAGGTTTCATCTTTGTTTATTTGGATGCAAATTCTGTTGTTGTTGTGCCCTAAGGTGCCCTGACATAGCTAAGGTGAGAAGCAAGATGATTTACGCGAGCTCAAAGGACAGGTTCAAGAGGGAACTCGACGGGATTCAAGTAGAGCTTCAAGCAACCGATCCAACAGAGATGGATCTTGATGTTTTCAGAAGCCGTGCCAACTAAAAAGTAAACACCAAAAAGTTTATCCCCTTGAATGATCTATTCTATTGTTTCGGAGTGATGTTACTTTCTTTTATATTTTTACATTATGGCTGTGAAGGGTATGAACCTAATTACAACTTTATTTTTATCGGTGTTTGGTGTCTTGTGTTGGATGTTGTCTTTGGTGTTCCATCTTCATGTAGATTTCACTATTTTGGGTTTTCTGAGTGTAAAGACTCAAATCTTCTATTCAAGATGAAACCCTTTTGGTATCATTTAATGTTGCTTTCACAAATGTATGAAACAGCAGCTTTAGTCTATAGATGTGTGCACGAGATGTTACATTCATGCCATTAAAGGTCGATCCGACCCGTTTTGAGTCTTGAAAGTTGATATGCTCCCACCACTAATCTAGTCTGGTCCTGATTTGATTTTAAGTTTTAGGTATAGGGTTCAAATCTGATGTTGTTTGTTGTGGTTTAATCTAGGCCTACGCACGGAGCGGATATCTGGAATTGGAATTTTAGTGATATCTGTGATCCAATCCGCCCCGTACGGATCAACAATTTTTTGATCTGTATTTGCTCCGTTACTAATCGGATATTCGGTATTCAGATATCTGTTAAAATCCAGATTTTTAATCGGATATCCGATCCATTTCAAAAAATATTAAATTAATTATAAAATAATTAAAATATTTATAAAATAATTAAAATTATTTATAAAAATAATTAAAAAATTAAAAATTAATTCATATATTAAATTTTAAATTGTTCTTTTAAAATTTTGTATTAAAATATCTAATAAAATATATATAAATTTACAAAATTTTACATATAATTATATTAACTATATATTTTATATGTAATTATATATATACATACATATATATGTATATCAGAGCGGATCGGATATCCGGCTTTTAGAATTTTAATATTTGTTATTTGCTCTGTTTTTAACGAATATCAAAATTTAATATTTGTTTTACTCCGTAAAGTTTTAGATATCCAGATTTTTCAAATCAAATCGAAGCAAATAGCAGATCGAATCAAATATAACGGATAATTTGTTCAGTCCTAGTTTATTCTGATTGTAATACAGAGAAACAAAACAATAGTTTCAACACAGTCTAGTGATATCTGTGATCCAATCCGCCCCGTACGGATCAACAATTTTTTGATCTGTATTTGCTCCGTTACTAATCGGATATTCGGTATTCAGATATCTGTTAAAATCCAGATTTTTAATCGGATATCCGATCCATTTCAAAAAATATTAAATTAATTATAAAATAATTAAAATATTTATAAAATAATTAAAATTATTTATAAAAATAATTAAAAAATTAAAAATTAATTCATATATTAAATTTTAAATTGACTTTTAAAATTTTGTATTAAAATATCTAATAAAATATATATAAATTTACAAAATTTTACATATAATTATATTAACTATATATTTTATATGTAATTATATATATACATACATATATATGTATATCAGAGCGGATCGGATATCCGGCTTTTAGAATTTTAATATTTGTTATTTGCTCTGTTTTTAACGAATATCAAAATTTAATATTTGTTTTACTCCGTAAAGTTTTAGATATCCAGATTTTTCAAATCAAATCGAAGCAAATAGCAGATCGAATCAAATATAACGGATAATTTGTTCAGTCCTAGTTTATTCTGATTGTAATACAGAGAAACAAAACAATAGTTTCAACACAGTCCAAGCCAAACTTAGCTTTGACTTTTTGTCAAGAACAAAACAATTTGTGGACCAATCTATCTAGGGTCAGATTGCATTACAGATTTTTTAGTCGACCACAATATCATTTTATGATTATGATTGGATTTGTCGTTTGACCATCGGTTCGTGGTGATAAACAACATGTTGAGATTAACTTGAATCTAAAGTAATTAACTTATCTACGGATTTATTACCTAATCGATGACATTTTCAGTACTGGTGGAAATTATCTAATAGTATTATCTAATATGTTTTACATTAGCGGGATGTAAAACATATTTTATTGTTTGAGCTAAATAAATTAATTGTATTTTTTTTTGATACACAGTAAGCAAATGAAATACATTTCCATATAAAAAAATATTCGGATAGCTTAGAAATAACGCTAAAGAAAAGAAGAGAGAAGAAACAGTGAAGAAAAAAGAGAAAACAAAAAAAAAGAGTCATATTCATATTCTCCATCGATTTTTGCCGACCGGAGAAAATATCTTCTTCCGCCTCTTCATTTCAGCAGGAAAGCTCTTTGAAATCGGTTTGATTCAGCCATGGTGAGCTCAAATTTCTCTCGCTACTGTTTTTAAGTTCGTCGATTCGAAGTTTACTTCTCGATTGCTTGCTTGAGTCCAAATCAGTTTGATTTCGTCTCGGATAATATCTCTATTGACATCGCTTCTCGCTCGTTAGATCTAGAGATGGATTTTAGAGTCTCCGAACTTTCCGATCTTTGTGTGTTTGTGATTCGATTTATAGAAATCTGGCGAAGAACTCGTAACTTTGCTAGTTAAATCTGAAATTAGGAGGAATCTGGTGCTTCCACTTGCTTGATTGTTCGATTTATATGATTCTTCTCGTCTTCTGAAGCCAGACATCTCTCATTTCTCCTGATAAGTCGTAATTTGAATTTTGAATTCTTAATTGTTCTTTATTGAACGCATTTTACTTTAGACGATCTTTCTAAATTGCTTAGCTTCTCTTCCATGTGATGTTATTAATGCCAATATTTTGTTACAAGTTGTTAGAGATGAAGTTGTTTCTCCAAAATTTGGTGATCTTTTGGTCTAATAAATGTATATTTGTAGAGATTTGGTATCTTCTTCTAAGTGTGTTTCTTCTGTGTGTATTGGTATTATTAACAGGCTAACGCAGCGTCGGGAATGGCTGTGCATGATGATTGCAAACTAAAATTCATGGAACTGAAGGCGAAACGAACGTTTCGTACCATAGTGTACAAGATCGAGGACAAGCAAGTGATTGTAGAGAAACTCGGTGAGCCTGAACAATCATATGATGATTTCGCAGCAAGTCTTCCAGATAACGAATGCCGATACTGCATTTACGATTTCGATTTCGTCACCGAGGAGAATTGCCAGAAGAGCAAGATCTTCTTCATCGCATGGTAAAAAAAAAAAACTACTAATAATCATCACTATCTACCTTCTTGATTTTGCTTATATGTTAACTATGATCATCATCAAATGCTTGTGTGTTGTGACAAGGTCTCCGGATACTGCGAAAGTGAGAGACAAGATGATTTACGCGAGCTCTAAGGATAGGTTCAAGAGAGAGCTAGATGGGATTCAAGTGGAGCTTCAAGCAACCGATCCAACAGAGATGGGTCTTGATGTTTTCAAGAGCCGCACCAACTAATAAAGCGCAAGAAAAAAAAAGCCTTCGCAAAAAAGGGCATTTGAATAAGTTTGTTTCTGGAGTGACGATATATGTTTTCCTCTTGAGGGTTATGAAAACTGTTTTAACACCTTCTTCACCTTCATTATTCTATTTGGTATTATCGTCTTTGATGTGTTTCTCTATCAATCTACTATGAGATTGTGCCTTGTGGATTTGTGTCTGTTACCATTATGTACACTTGAAATCAGATTGGTGTTATTCATATGTATATGCTTCAAGCCTTTGTTTTTTTAATATTTTGATTAGGAAAGTCCTATAATATTCTGATTTTTGATTATTTTCTATGATTTAATTTTTTTAACACTTGGAATCAGGGAACCAGCTGGACCGGGTCAACTCAGGTCAGCGATTCCTCCACTAGTCTAGTAGAGTTTCTCACTTTCCCGAGTCTGTAACTTTTTTTCTCACCGTTGATTAAAAACCATCAACGGCTAATATCTCTCCATTTATTGATCGTGTCGGGAGAAAAAAAGCACAAAAGTTCGTTTTTGCCGATCTGTGTCTCTTCAAAATCCATCTTCTTCAAGCTTTCGTTTCTTCTTTTCCATTTCTTTTTCCTTCGTTTAAACGATGTATATCTGTGGATTTACTTACCATCTTTTTGGGTCCACAAAGGAATTCAAGAAATTTGCGGCCACATATCATATTCTCCTGCATGCAACTTTGTTCTTTCTGCTGGTGATACTATTTCGACAGGGGACACCAGAGATAATCGATTTGGGCAACTTTAAGATATCCAAAGTAAGTTTTACTTCGATAATGGGGCTCTTGTCTGCTATGATGGCATCTACTTATCTCTTGTGCCATCGGCATTGGTATTGATTTTGTAATCGAAAGGTTTTACGAGGAGATGGCTATGTTTTTCGGGTTTTCTAACATTGTTCTTTTTTCTCATGAACCTCTTCGGTTTCTGGGGATTTATATGTCTATTGGTTTCCCCTCCGGTTGTTCTTTTTGGTCTACGAGTTGCAAAGCTCCCTTGATTTAGAAACTAGAAAGCATCTCAAGATTGCATGCATGGAGCTTAAAACCGAGGAGGATCTGGGTTTCTGGGATTTAGAGTAGAATCGTTTGCTGGTATGTGGCAATCCATCTAGTGATGTTCGTTTTTATTTTAGTTTTCAGGTGTTTTAATTGCTGCTAATGCGCTCGCTTCAAATTCGAATTTGTTTCAAAAAGGAAACTGTGCGGATAAATGTGTTTCTGTTAGTTTTGTATGGCGTTGTTGTTCATTAGATTCTTCCTCAAGAGTTTGGGAAAAAGTTATTACCCAACACACTTTAACTTTGTCTGAATGGATCATCTTACTCACAAATGTTTGACATGTGAATGATACTGCTGATAGAATGCTTAGTCGTATAGACTCATTAAACGTCTTAAGTGATTTGTTGTAAAGATTTAGTGTCTCGATTCTGGTTTGCTGTCTTTGATGTCTTGATGATGTGTTTCATTGCATCTATGAACTTTGAGATTGTGCCTTGTGGTTGGTTTGCAATCTTTATGTCAGTTACAAGCCTTTGATTTTGTATATTTGATGTATATAAAAAACAGATTGTTGTTATAACTATGTTTTACACATTTGTTTTAATTCCTTAACAATAACTAATATATCAATTTTTAATATTATTAAGACAATAATTTTTAATAAAAGATAGATAAAAGTTTTTAAAGATAAATTAATTTATTAATCATATAACATCAATATAGATGTGCTAACTATTAGACGCCACCCCTAATTCTTGTAAATGTCAATTTAGTACAATTAAACATCATCAATTAAAAACATCACATTAAAAAAGATGACACAGCTTTTGGGTGATCAAGGAAGATTACACAGCCATTCTCTCAAGATTACTCATCATTGGAGATTTGGAATCTCACGACTTACATGAGATACACATCAAGACTGTCACAAGAGGCTTTTCAGTTTTCCCAACTTCTACCACTCGATATCAGAGTAGACATAGCATACTCGCATGGAAATTTTGTAGTACAGTTGGAACAATCATGCATATAAGATACATTGAAAAAAAAGAAGAAGTAAAGCTATATATTTGTCAACATTCTTGTATATCAAAAGAACATTTCACATTAATCATGACTATCTCTACATCACACAAAAATCACAATGATACATAGAACTTTGAAATTGAGGCTTCTGTGTTAATAAGCCACATGTCAAAATTTATTTGGATTTTTGTGTAAAATCAATTTCGTCGATATCACAGTAAAAATCTAGTAAAAACGGTAGCACTTATGATGTTACCAAACAAACAAAATAGATAAAACATAAGTAAAACATATTAGATCCAAATCTCTAATTTAAATTCATCTCATAGCTAATAAAATAAAATGACAATCCTAATGACTAAGATGCAAACAAATAAAACACTTTAGTTCGAACAAATTAAATGATGTATTTTTAAGAATTAAAGATAAAAAAGAGAATCAAATTTGATGAATAAAAAAGTTTGGTACCTTTTGATGATGTTCAACACCATGAAACATATAGTTATTCTGGTAATGTACTTGAATACAACAACAATAATTGGATTTACTCTCACGGATATAGCTATACTTCTCTGTAGTCTAAGTTATATCGTATCATACCAACACTGACAATATTTGAACAGTATAATCCCTTACTTTTCTAACCCATTGGATAGAAAACAATACACAAAATAAATCATATAACTAACATATCAAACCAAAACTCCATCTCTTATGAAATATGTATTCTTAGTCTTTCACAATATCAAAAGAACTCTACCACAAATCAAGACATCCCACTAAAACCAATTACATAAAATCCTAAATCTTCAAAATCAAAACCGGTTTAAGTAGGGATAATAGCGATTTGGCTTTGTATAAATTCCTAATCTAAACCATTATCTCCCATTTAATACATATCAAGAACATCATCAATCATCACCCCAGCAATATCTGTAACTCCATTGACTCTTAATCATGAAAATTAAATGTGACACAACTTCATCCTCAGACTCATGAAACCTCAAGGTTTATCAGTTGAAGGATAAAATTAAATGCAATATCTAAAGCTAAATATTCATCATCACGATCTTTTAGAAAATAGAAGTCACAACCCTTTAAAAAATATGGAACAAATTTATACCTCTAAGATCGAACTCCATAAAAAATGACAGTTCATTATATTCACCGAATATAGCGCAAGAAATACCTAGCAAGTTAAAAAAAAAAAAATCAGAGATCTTCTCATTCACTTTCACGATTAATCTTAATTAAAGGCATATTCATCCAATCAATAAAGCATAATCGATGAAAGGCTTTGTTTGAACTTATTATCAAGCCACGTTAAAATAAACAAACAATTAGATAAAAAGACACCACAACAAAATCATACATCGATCAAGATATAGATAGAGATTTAGAGGAAAAGAGATCCCATCATAAAAAACGGAAAAACCCCCAATTCTAATTCTAGAGAGGGATGAAGAGATCGTACGTTGATATCATTAAGATCAAACCTTACTGTAGACTCGGTCCATACTATCACCCGAATTATTTTTCAGAAAACAGAAAGGGAAGCAGAGAGACTTCCTGAGAATAAACAAAAAAGCAAAGCAACCTTTAGAAATTAGACAATTTTCACGAACATAACCTTCCTCTTCATGTTTTTCTTACAAGTCTTCTTATTCTTCACTCGCTCTTTTCCATGAATGAATCGCCTACTCGCTCCTATTTGACTATTTGGTCACCATCTGTTAAAAATCAGTTCAATATCATATTACCAAAAAAATAAATAACAACAAAGATGCAAAACATCCCATATGAAAACTAAATGGAAATCATAAAATAGTAATAATATAGCTAAACCAAAAAGCATAATATGAGACGATTCTCTGAAAACATAATATGTGAGAAAAGCCAAAAGTACTAAATACCAGCCGACTCGATGAGATGATTGTCCCAACATCTTACAACAGGATTAAAAGAACGAAGAAACAAAGATCATAAGAACACAATCACGAAAAATCAAATAAACAACTTAGGTTATGTAAAACTCACTTAAGATGACACAATACAGATCATTCTACAAAGAATACACAAAACATCAGACAAATAATAAATAGCACATGGATGATACACAAAACTAAAATAGAATAAGAAGATACATGACAACTAACAAAATATTATCTAAAAAGAACATAATGTGCCCAACATCATATAGATCTACCACAAGAAGAAGAGATCGGTTAAAACAATAGACATACTCAAAACCGAGTAAAAGAGAACGAACGGACGATTATTATGCAAAATAAATAATTAGGGGTTTTGTAGCTTCATTATGTTTGGCCGAGAATTATATTAGATTTAGCGACAAAATAATAACGGCGATAAGATTGTTTTATAACTGGGTTAAACAATTAATTAGGATATTCTAAATAATGATATAGACTAGGATTTAGCCCGCTCTATATGCGGGGTAATGTTTTTTACTTTATTAAATTTAAATTCTATTTAAAAGTTTAGTTTTTCTTATCCATATTATTAATATATTGGTTGAGTATGTTTGTTGTATGTTAATTGTTTGTTGGAATGGGAATGTTGTATTGTTTGTGAATGATATTTTGGTTTCGTTTGTGTATGATATTTGTTTTAAGTTAGTAGTTTTGTATTCATAATTATTGTATCATTTATCAATTATATATATTTGTTATAGTTGAGAGTTTGTTGGATAGATTTATAAAGATAAGAAAAACAAATATTGATAATTTTATTATATAAAATAAATATAAAATTTAAATTATTGTCATTTGTTGTTAGAAAATAAGAAATTATGTAAGAAATATAAAATATTCAACAAATATAGTTGATGGATATAAATGATTTATATAATGTATCTATGTAACCCAGAAATCTTGATATATTTTAGTTACAGGTTTATGAATAGAGGTTAAGTATTTTTTTTTACCAAAATTTTATCTTGTCAACATCGTCCTATTATATTCTACTTCTGATCTTAAATTTGATTTCCTATAAAAAATAATTTTTTGTATGAAATATTTATTTTGCTATAAATGTATTGTATTTTTGTTTATAATATAGAAACCATTAAGTTTTTTTTGGATATTTATGTATTGCATATATTACTAAATTTTAACCTACCATGAAGATGGGTTACTATTTTTTAATTTATTTTTATTTTTATATTATTAATTCAACTTGAAAGTCCTGCTATATTTGAGTTAGTTAGGTTAATAAACATAGGGGTTAAGTAAATTTTTATAAACCTGTAACTAAAATATAAATCTAATTTTT